TGAAGTAGAAGTAGTTCTCAAATTACCATGGTCCTGCTCAGTTTGTCCCTGTATCTGCAAAAGCATAATGCCCATCTCCCTTTTGCCTGCTGGAGCCTGCTAAATAGGAAAATGTGTCAGACATGGGGGAGAGTGCTGCTGTTTCTATTGTTAAAGATTTACAATATCATAACAAGATACTAATGCAGACCTGGAAGAATTACACCTCTGCTTTTGCAGAGAGAAGTGCCTGAGTATCTCCAGCCCTTCAGAGTCCAGAGCAGAGGAAGCAAGGAGAAGCATTTTGAAGCTAGGGCTCAGATAATGCCAGGTATTGCAGCTCACTGCTTTGAGATTTAGCTCTGTGCTTGCAACTGGATTAAGGTGGGGTATTTGACAAGTCTCTGAATATAGATGAACACTGTGCTTCACATTGGAATGATATCTAAAAATGGCAGCAAAGTATTAGTGCATATATGGGGCAACAGGGCTGGAATTGGTTAACAGTATATAAAAGATTCTACATCCTCAGTGTTTTGAAATGAAGGGATTTTCCTGTGACATAATTGTGTATATCAAAGCTCTAAAAGCTAAGTAATTAAGAGTTTGAATGACAGACTTACAAGTCCAATGCAAAGCACCCTCTACAAAGAGATGACATAAACCAGAGGGTGGAAGAATACAGTGTGTGTGTACATGTGACAAAAATTCCCTGTTGGTTCAAGAATAGGTGCTTTGTTTTTCATTAGATACAATATTGGAAATGTGTCATCTTTAATCCATTTCTGTCAAGCTCGGTTGTCAGAAAGAGTGAAATTTCTTTCAAAAAAGACATAGCTGCTAATCCCTAAAAGCACAGTGCAACCACATTCTGGTCCTTCCAGATCTCTAATCAGTGTCTCTTCTGCAAAGATGCCCTAGAATTTTGGAAATTGCCTCATAATATTAATAGAAAAAATTAAAAGTACCCCTTTTTCCCTATTCTTACCTTGAGGAGAGGGACACCTTTTCAAATATTTGTTGCTTTTGTAACGTAGTGTCACAGTTTCATCAATCAACTGAAAGCTCATCAGCTTCTCAGTATGAATTAGAGCTTTAGAAATTATTGATGTGGTGGTCTGTTTTCTTTGAATCCTGTCTTGTAGTGCTTTAAAAGAGTCCCCATATGGTGAAACCTGCAATTTTGAAACAAAGGCCTTTTCCCATTGGGTATGACCAGGTACTCAGAATACTGAAAGGAATCAGTCATAGAGCTGTAGTACTTTTTCACAGGAATAATACTATGTGTTAGGAAAAAACTGGCTAACAATCAGATTTCTTTGACAAAAGATGTGAAGTTTGCTTTTTTAAATATGGAATTCATTAGTATTATTGAATAGCCTTATCATATTTCTTTTAACTATAAATGATTTTCTCATACTTGGTTCTTGAGTTTTCAAAGACTTCAGAAGTTACATAAAAGTAGGTACACAATAGAAGACTGGGCATTGTGGAGGTGTTAATATGTGGCAGATTTTTTTGAACCTAAGCATACGTATTTCAGGACCCATTATCTTGTCTTTTCTTTTGATAAAGTGGTTTTAGATTGACTATTACATTCCAAGGAAATTCAACACAGATTATTTCAGTGACAGAGTGGGCAACACTGGACAACTGTTCGTCCAGCTGGACAAGATGGAAAAATAAATGTATTCTCAAATGTCCTCTCAGGGAAGAACTGGGTGAGAGGCAGTTTCTGGTGTGCTACACAAATGAATAACCAAACATCAGGACCAGGATAAAGGCAGGGAACAGCTCAGCTCTTGGAGCTGATACCTGCAGAAAGAGTTGTAAGTCCGAGTCACAGGTGGCTGAAGGATGTGCAGAGACCATTAACATAAACATTGTTCTGTGATGCTGAACATTTGTGATGTGAAAATCACCTTTAATTGTAGCTGTACAGCAGCCTCTGTGCACTCACCTATGCTGAAACAGACCTTTCATAAAAAAATATTGTTCATATAGTACTAATCTGTGTTCAGTGACAGCACAACTCTTCATGTACATTTATTTATTGAACACTGGGGTAGGCATAGAGCGTGTTTCTCTAAAAGCTTCCATGAATGTTAATGACAAGGAATATCACTTGTAGGCAGCACTTGTGCCTAGGAAAGTACAGAAAAGGAAACCCAATAAAGCATCATGTAAAAAATATTAGCTTGCTGAAAAGCTTTTTATGGTTTGAATTAATTTTTAGTTCAGCAACACTTGTTAAACCTATAAATAGATAAATAGTCTCTTGCCTTCCTATGGCTTTTTTCCTCTTACAGTGTGCTTTAGAAGTCTTCACATTCAGTGATTTTTATTTTATTATATTTAGTTAACACTGCAGGCACTCTTTCAGAGAACTGCTTTGATAACAGGCTGTTTTATCTCAGTTTCTAGTGTGATAAAAGCCAATTTGGAGTCACTTACTTTATACAAAACAATGCAAAGTACAAGATATTTTGATGATAATAGCAACTTTAAAAAAGGATGACCATCTGCCTTTATTCACTTCTCCTGCTTTCAGTGTCCTTTTGAGCTCCACTTTCCCTATGGAAAGATGAAATCACAGAGATCATTTTCCTGTCAGCTGCGAAGATGTGGTAACCATCGTATAAGACAAACATATGGCTGGGTCTTAAGGGCTTTTTCAAACTGGGAATCCAAATATAGGCTGCCAAGTTGTGTACAGAAGCATCTGCCATGTCAGTTTCCCATCACAACGCCTCCCTGCACCACCAGAAAGCCTGAGCTGGTGCCTGCTCTTTTCCAGGTTGGCATTTTATGGCAAGAACAACCCACAAAAATGTAGAGCTGTGTATCCAAACAGCTCCTTAATCTGAATGTTGATCTGAATGTAGACTCCTTAATCTGAATGTTTTAGGAATAGTTTGGGACAGATGGGACTCATCCATGTAGAGATTTCCAGCAAAATCCCAGTTGTAAACTGCAGGGTGAGCATGGAAAGACCTGGAAGTTGAGCAATCTCTGTGTGTGGAACAGGGATTATTTTGAGATATACTTTAGTCCCATGGCAACGCCATTCACACAGTCCTTATTGGGCAGGCCGGGAAGGATCTATTCATACTCCATCTGGTTTGTTTTTACATTTCCTGACCAAACTGCTGTCTAGTCCCTGTACCTTGCTTTATTTGTGGTCCCTTGATTCCGATGGTTTCCCTCCTGAAGAGGGTTAAGCAGGAATTGCCACATACATGGGTCTGTAGCAGCTCCTCATGCCAACCAGATCATGTTTCCAACTTCAACCACTTGATTTTCCTGCTGCCCAGTGCTCCTGCCCTCCTCCCTTTTGTGAGGAATGTGGTAATTTTTGCCTCTGTGAGCTGTTATAGCTCTTATTGGAGATTGACTTCCTTTGACCTTGAAGGTGGATTTCTGGTATGGGGTGGCCTTGCCCATGCCTTCCTTCCACTGGTGGCTCTGGCAAGTGAGGTCTGCACTTAAGAAAAAACACAGATGAAGGAATTTGCAGTTGACCACTTACTTCCTCATCAGCCCCTCATAGGAGAAAGACCCGGATATATAGAGCTTAATGAGGCATTTTTCTGTAGGTAACCAGCGCAATTATGAGAAACTTCCTCCTTAAAATGTTTGTGTGAAGACAACTGTTTTGGTTGAAAATGTGCATGGTGCTTGTGGGCTGAAATCACTGTTGATACTTTTATATAGGAATACTTTTATTTTATCTGTGTGGGGCTTTGGGTTTTTTTTTGTTTTTTTTGTTTGGGGTTTTTTTGTGCTCTATAAGCAAGGCCTTTTGATACATTTATCAAAACCAAGACTGGTGATTTTTATAAACTTTTGTTTTGAAGCAGAATATGCACCCTGTCCCCATTCCAGGAAGTTAATTTACGTTTTCTAATTGCATGGAACTTGCCTTGAAAATCAGAGGAGGATGTGTAGGAAGGTAAAGGTGCAGGAAGTTAGATTTATTGCTGTTTGTGAGGCCATTTAGCACTGTTCAGAGCAGTTTTAGCTCATCAACACTCCACTGGTGAAACTCAAAATATCTATCATGTTTATCTGAGACAGCCTTCTGCAATGTATCTTCATTTGTTCTTACCTAGTGTTTGCTCTCGCCCTGTACTTTACTTTTTACCTTACTTTAAAACTTCAGTCATTTACTTCAGGAGCCAAAATTCTTTTCCCCCTCACCCCATGCACTGAATAACCAACTAATAAGCAGGTAGTTAACAATTCTGTAAGTATTTCTTCCACCTAAGCTAACTATTGAATGGGAACTGTGTTGTTAGCAATTGGAATCCCACTGGAAACATGCCTTGAACAGACTTAAAGCTGCAGCCATGGCAATCAAAAGATTAATAGATAAGTAATTGATTTTAATAAGTTACTCTCCTGCATGGACTATTTTAAATTTTAAGATTGCTAAAATAAGATGTTGAATAAACACGAAGAGAAGAGACTTGCAGTAGCTGGATTAAAAAAAAAAAAACAGAAAACTGCCTGTATTCACACATCTAACATTGTCTGAAAAAAAAAAGTTTTAAAAATATTGTGGTTAAGTATTTGAATAAAGAGTACAGAAAATAATTTTTCAAAAATAGATCCTTATTAGCAGTCTGGGTCGGAAAACTAGATATTCACTTTGATTAGGGTTTTCCATTGCGAGGAATAAAAATTTTATTTCACAGGTTGCAAGTTAAAAAATATGAAAAGTGATGTATTTACATTACAAAGATGAAACTGAGTTACAGTGGCTAATAGGATAAGTGTAGCAAGTTAGACATTAGAAGAGGGATGTGAACCAAATTTACCAGGTAAATTAACTTTGTTAGAGCACTTGAGCTGGAGCAAAGATAACAGCACCTTTAGGAGACAAACTGCCTGCCTTGCTGGTGTACTCCAGTGTTTCTCTAATGATTATAAAATTCTTTAGGCAAGATTTTTTTCACCAGCCTAAGGGCACCAAAAGGTATTGATAAATGTGCAACAGAAATAGAATGAAAGCTGGACTCAATGCCCTAACTCTTCATATCCTGACACCTGCTGAAACAGTTCTGGTTCTTTTACTCTGCCTTACTGAAATTGTGCTCCTGCATGACATGGGTGCCACTGATTTGCAAAGAAAGCTACTCAGTATTTCCAGGGCTTGAACAACAAGCCCGGAGAATCCCTTAAAAAATAATGTCCTGGAAAGCAAAGTAGCAGATAGAGTCTGGCCAAGGCAAAGGGGAGCTGAAGCTGTCAGCAGTGTCCACCTGAGGCAGATCAGATATGGACTGAAATGCATTTGGCAGCTCTTTCCTGTGCCACACTCAGTTTCACCTTGTGCCCAAGGATTCCACACTGCTTCATACAAGTAAAGGTGAATGGTGTCTGGGTGCAGTCAGCACTGAACAAGGGGATCTGAACACACTTGTTAGTGCAGAAGGTTCTCTGCTATTTCCAGACTGTTCAGTGTGAGAAAGGAAGTGAGCCTCAATGATGTACCCAAGGTTATGCCCCAAATTAGTTACAAGATGGGAAGGTGTCACAAGCAGTCCCCTTGTGGGATTGTGGGGCTGATCTGCCTGCCTAAAAATAAAAGAAAGACAGTCCTCTTCAGTGAGCAATTTAAGGCAATTTGTATTAAACAATTTGTTATGAGATTTGATTAAAAAAAAAAAAACCTTAGTGAAGCTAGACTAAACAGTGTTCTCAGCATAGTGGTCATCCTTTGATGTGATGCCTTAGAGGAGCTGAGGCAGAATGTGCTTTTTCTGTGCAGTTCAATAAAAATAAGGCTGTGAAACATCTTATGATGAAAAAATCCAAAGACTCTCAACCTCTAACACTGAACCTTAAAATTACCATACCTGAATGTGGCAGATGAGTCGTGTTCATTATTTTAGCAGCATCTGTGCCCATTTACACCAGCTAAATATCTAGCATTCAATATAAGCAATTTTCTTGTCCCTTTTCAATTAGCTCCATTACAGAAAATCTAATTAAATCATATCTTTTAGCAGGAACCAAGAATTCAAGAGCTAAATTTTTGCATTTAATTAAAACCTCTTCATCTTGAACTGTTAATTTCCTGAAAAAGATATCCAATAGTTTTTCCTCTGTTCCACTTCGTTCCTGAATGAAATGGCTCATTTACTCTGAGTTGGCTCTTGAAGTGTTCACTTAGGCTCTAACTCTGGTGGCAATCTCAGAAGATGATGGGGATCATAGCTGCTTTTCTCCGCACTTCTGGGTAAAATCTCTTCAGATACAGCTTGTGTTTCTTCTGGGCCCACAGAGACATCTGGATGACCATCAGGAAAGCAAAGACGCCAACTAGCAGGGGAAAAGATTCAAAGAAAAGGATCACATTTGTTATTTCAGTGCCTCTTTCTGGAGATGCAGTAGGGTTTATAGAAATATTTGCAGTCTCTTTTGTGGGCAGACAACACAGCAGTTCCTCTCAGCCTAGCAGTTGCTGATATATCAGCCCAAGGCTCAGCCTCCCCCTCAGATTTAGCACAGATGACCTTCACATTTGTTAGACACACCCTGTACCACCTCTGACTTCACCATAAATCCATATATCACAAGGCATCCTTGGCCATGGTGCTGTCTATACCCATGACCTCCCTCGACCATACTTCTAGTTAGCTTCTGAGCTACAACACTTCTTTATTTCTACCTCTGGCTCCCAACCATGACTGGGAGAAGTGCTCTAACTCCCTGTGTAGAGGGAGAGCTCGACCCTAAAGCAAGTAGGCAGTAGCAGCCAGATTCAACAAACAGGCACCAAACAGGAGATCATTTTACTGCATTTGCATTTTGCAAATTCATTATCCTTTGATTAATGTGGAGGTGGTTAATCAGAAACATCCATTTGGTGTCCAGTTAAGCTATGTCTGGGACAATTACAGCAAGAATGAGTGTGCTGCATATGTTTCTGCCCCTGCCACTGTAGGGACAGCCCTCCATTGTCCCCAGACTTTCAGATAATCTTCATACCAAAGCCTAAAACACAAGAACATTTCATCTTTTCAAACAAAATTTCAATTTATTTTTTGCATGATGCAGTTTAACCCACTTTTGAAATTCGTACTTTTCCATTTGTAAACTGTGTGGGGCTACTTCTTACAAGTAGTTTTTATAGGTTTCTGTTTTGAAATGGAAAAATAATTTAAAAACTCAATGTTTTGGATAGCTCAGTTCCAGGGACCACATTTTTTTGTGAGTGTTTAGGTCTTCTAAGAATGCAGCAAAGTACTGAGCAAGAGTCTCAGATTCCACTAAGCAGGCTGCTCTTACAAGCATCTTGGAGGTTTATCTCATATGGCAAATTTGATGGCAATATTTCATATACTATAAACTTTTTTTGGCAAATCTTAGATTTCTAGAATTCTCTTCCACAGACACTTTAAATGCTGTCTTCATTCTGTTTCAAACTTACCTGGCAGAGTTTGTGTCATCACCGTGAAACTAATCCAAGACCCAGCCTGTTGCAGAGAAAAAGGCACAGTTAGTTCTATATTTTATGCAAAGCAAAATGGCAAGTCTTCAAAAGCTCCCCATGGAAAAAGAGTGTGGTACTTGTATGGAAATGAGAGAGGAAAAATAGTAAGAAATTAACCCCCCAGTGTGCTGGATGGGGTGAATAGAGGGGTGGTAAATCTTTAGATCACTGGGGAGACTGTATGGAGGGAAATACAGACAAAAGTCTATGTGGCAGGGATGTGAGGGATGCAGAGGGTCTGGTGGAGAAATGTTTGTGGGAGCAAGGAGATTCTGACATACAAAGCATGAGGACGGATGTGCAGAGGAAACTGCGTGGAGGTGTTGCAGATTTTCTGCAGACAAAAGCTGAAACAGTACCCACCTACCCTTTGCACACTAGCAGAAGAAAGTCATGTACCTCATATGTGTAGTTGGGACAGGATACCAGCAGGAAGAGCCATGTGAAGGGGTTGTAGGTTGGACTTGGAAAGCAGGTTCTATTTCCTTGTGAAAGGGGGAAAAAAAGGGTGGGGAAATCAGAACCAGTTTCAATCCAGGGAGAGAGGAGCTGAGCCTTATCACAGCCTGCCTATGTAACAGCAATCCCCCGGGCCAATGCTCTCAGGGTACAACCTGTTAGAACTAAGTTTCAGTGAAATCTTTTGAGGTAGCAAAAGCTGTATTTATCCCAGTGAGAAAGAACTTAAATCAATTTTTTGGCTCTTTCTGCTTTTAAGCTGAATTAAGCACCTTGCAAGAAATAACATAAGCAGTTTCCTAACCACAGTGCATGAAAACATTCCAGAAAGGAAATTGACTTCTGTGTGTGTAGTTGATCATACTGTGGTATTTTCTTTAATAGGGTGTTCTAGTGGGGAAATTACACTATTAGTGTCTGAAAACATATTTTACTTTCTGGTATATATTGCATAGCCTTTATTCTCATACACAAAAATGCAGAAACCCCAACCTGTTAAGAGCATATATATACACTGTGTAAGTATTCACAAGTCTGTCTCTGTGTTTGAATATATGCATGTACATCTTTGCCTGAGAATTTTTCTAAAAACTCTGCAATATAGTTTAGAAGTTTTTGAGACTTATTTAAAATTAAATGCATTGATGTCAGTCACCAGCATGCTTTAAAGAACTTCAGCGCTTAAATCCATATTTAAATTGCACTTGTGTCTAATTAAGATAAATTTGCTATAAGTTTTGGAACAACAGCAATGCTACTAATGTTTTCTTGTCACAAATTTTTGAAGGTGTTAGACCAATGGCATGGTTACTACTTCATCTTTCTTTATTCGGTGGCTGTAGGTACATAAATTACTGTATAAGAGCAGAAGATGGATAGGTTAAGGAACAGGAAACAAAGACAGACCTGAATTGGTTTGGTGAGCTAAAGCTACGTTGATAAAGTGATTTCCAGCTTCACACATCTGCAAGACATTAAAAACATATTTTCAGTCATATGCCTAAAAGGCTGTGGCAACTGTGTGCAGTGCATAACCAGAACCCTCCCCGTTACAGCTCAGTCTCTGTACTCAGCAAACATGTATTCCAGAAAACAGCCTGTGATTTCTGTCACACACATGAGTGTCCAGGGAACACTGTGGGTGCAGCAGCCTGGGGTGAAAGCCTCTGGCACATCTCCACAGAGCTCTGTGGGGTTCCCATGCCCAGCACAGGCAACATGTTTGGCCCTGGGGAGATTCCCTGGTTCTAAGGAATCCATCAAGATGCTCTTCTTGTTTTTTGGGGTTTTTTTTTCAGAATTTAATCCAAGCTGCAAAGAAGCAGGTGAAAAGCTGACCTCTGGTTTTGTAAAGATGTCACTGGTTAATGTCCCTACTACACGCTTTCAAAGGTGTTCAGCAGAACAGGAAGGGAAAAAAGGGCAATTTAAAAAAGCAGTAATCTCTAAAAGGCAGACTGGTTGAAAGGACAGTAGTCAGGGATTGACAAAGGAAGGGAGCCAGTCCTATTCCTGGTTCTGGAACTCTCTGGTTACGCCATTTCCAGCCATAACCAACTTCTCAAAGCTGGTCTCTAACATTTAGGTATTTCAAACCTTTGGTAGCAGTACCATTTCTCTCCATTTGGTTATACAGCCTGCAGCACAGGCTGATTTCAGATTTGCTTCAGCCCTTCAGTACTTCATCAGTTACGACTGCTGAAAAATGAAAATCAATATTTGCCCATATTTAAAATGGGAACTGGTAGGAAAATCAGTTTAAATTCCTGAAGAAGATAACCTGTCATCACAACTATATAATTTTATGGTTTTCATTTTTTTCCCCTACTCTGTGAAGAAATCTAAAATGGTGTATGCAGTTCAAGCTCAGGCCGAATTGAACTTTTTTTATTAATTTCTGGGTTTGAAGGATGATTTGGCCTCTCAAATTGAAAAAATGCAGTGTTGAAATTTGCATTTTCTTATATAATTTATAATTCTATAACTTGCAAGGGTCAAAAATGTTGAAGAAATTAAAATTAAAAGGAAAATGTTAAAACCTAGAGTTGTTAAAAGTGTGAAGTTACAAAATTAATACAAAAAAGGAATAATTTCAACTGTCATTTTAAAGTCAATTCTGAAAGTCATCCATAACAAATTTCTTTTGAAGCAAATTGAAAGGAATATGTAATTTCATTTTATATTGAAATGTGCTATTACCTGAAAAAACATTGTAGATAGAAGAATTGTTGAAGAATTTTCTCCATTTTGGCAGAGATTTTTGTGGAGTTTGTTTGGAAGATTTAAATCAGGTTTATTCATAAATAGATTGTTATTAGCTGTTATTCTGCATGGATAGGGAGTTACAGTTCAAGTCCTGCTGTCCTTTTAAATTCTTTTAATTCCAACTAACTGACAATCCTCTACTATAAATGCCAGATGTAAAACACTAAATAGCCAGAAAATTAAATTCCATTATAAAATACCATATCAGAAGCTATAACTCTAAGCATAGCAGTGGACATAATTTTAATTTACATACTTCCAATTATGAGCTGGGAACGTGATTTGTTTTTTCTGATTGGTATTATTTTAAAGAAATAGGTTTTGTGGTTAGAAGTGGTTTTGAAAAACTCTATAGCTAATGAGATGCCTATAGTATTGTAGAGCAAGAGATATTCACACACTATAATTAACCCCTACTAATTCTAAGCGAAACAAGCTAAAGGCATTTCTGCAGGGATTTTTATTGGCTTACCTTTGACTCTGCAGCTGCATTCTGCTGTGATTAACTCTTGTGTCCCTCTTTAGGCATGTGACTGTTAATGTTCTACATGCTAAATTTAAGCTAGTCCTCAGTTTATCATATATAAAATATGGGGCAGGGGGAAACAGCAGAGAAAAGCTGAAGCTATTGACAATTATAAAATATTGAAGCCTACACACTGTTTCCCCTCTTTATATTCCAAGTGTACCCTATGAGAAAAACATCCCTACAAAGCTTAATTTCTCTAAATATGAGAATCTTCCTGGAGGACCTGCAGAAATTCTTCATATTACTCAGTACTGTTGTTTACAGCAGCTGCAGATGTATACACTTAAATCAGGATGTGTAATAAAGGCAAGACTTAAAAGAGGGTAAAAAAAAAAAAAGAAATCTTCCAAATATTTTATTCATATGTTTTAGAAATCTGTGAAAAAAGCTCAAATTATTTTATTTGGTATGTTGATGTTTTAAATTCTTTGGGAATCTACCAACACAAGATCTCAAAGGGACAGGTCTTGAGTTTCCATGGGTAGGGAGCTCTCAAAAGACCTGTAAGAATTCAGAGCCTAGACCAGATGCTGATGCAGACCTTAAGGGGATTGACGTATTTTATAGCAAACACCCCCAACAGGACTCATCCCTTTGCTTGATGGCAGCATTTTCCTTGCAGGGCACATTCCACTGGTGCAGGGAAGGATGTTTCAAAGGAAAAGGAAGCTTTCTCTATGTACTGAATATTCAGGCAAGCAGTTTGCTTGGGGTCAAACACCCCCTGAGCCTGGGAAGGGTGCACACAGCAGGGTCTGGGTGTACTGCTGGCTGCCAGTGCCACAGCCTCCTGTCTCTGCAGTACTGGGCTATTGCTTTTGGTCTAGAGCATCATGGAGTGTATGAACTTCTTCATAGAGGCATTTTTCTTGTCTTTGCTGTACCTTGTTAGAGAGAGAAAAGCTGAGAACTGCATGGACAGACCCAGAGACAAACACTGCCAAAACTGTGACCTTTAAGGGTCCTGTTTTACAAAAGCATTTAGATATTGCTAACGAGTTTATGGATGTTTTTCTGAATAGTGTTTGCCTGAAGGAGCCTAGACATATTATTGTCCCATCACCCTGTCATATTTCTGGAAACTGATCTGTATCTGATTTTCAAAGAGGATGCTTTGGCTCTGGCTCAGCAGTTCCAGAGGACAGAGAAGATATACATTTCCATGATAACTTCTTACCAAGCCTCTGGCTCGCTATAAAGTTATGTTCAAACAGCAGGTTGGGTATTCTCAGTTATCCTTCATCAGCTACACTTTCCCTTGGTTTATTCCAATCTGGCAGTTTATTTCTATCATTTTTAATAGCCGTTGATGTAAGTTATTCAAGGTACTGAACTATTGCAAAGTCTGCTTGATATATAATTCTTCAGTGTTTTAAAAATGACAAGGTTCAGTCTGTCTAAATATTAGTGTTCTAACACAATTACCAGTAATAATAATGCTGATGATATTCTCACAGCTCTCAAATACAGTACTTCAGTTTAAACTCTATATACATAAATATTAGTAGAACACTGTCTGACTGAGAAGCCTTAATAGATTAGTACTGAATCCAGTCAAACTACACAAGGCTGTGGACATGGACTTCTGCATTACTGCATTTTGTTAGATTGTGAGTTAATCCTATTCCATCATCATAAATAAAATTTCATTTTTGTACATACCAGAAAAGCAAGAGCAGCATAAGAAACTTGTTTGTGGCCAAATGCTAGAAAACAGAATGAAATTATAAATTGCATTTTACGGTATGCACATGGTTTGCTATGGATGAAATTAATCTAGTGCTGAGGAGCAGAAATGCTTCTTTCCTGACAGGCTCTGCAGAGAGATCGGATATTATCACACACAATATGAAGACAATACAACCAGTAACAGCACTCTAGAAATGCTAGTTTTACACCACTGATCTCAAGGGAGTTTTCACCCAACTTTTTTTAGTATTTGCCAGCTTCATCTATCCAAGTGTTTTGTCAAAGCAGCTGGTGGTGGTGAATCCCTTGAAAAGGCAAGGAGAGGAGTGGAGTCAGTGTCAAAATGAGGCTGAGAATTGCAGCCTTGCCCATAGACACTTCTACTTCCACAAGCAGAAAACTCAATGCATAACCTAGCCATTACCTTCTTTTTACTTTAGTAGTGAGGCAATGGTGAGGCTTTACTACACAGCCACTACCTGCTTCACAGCCGTGCAGGAAATACATTTAATATTTGTAAATTTTACCTGCCATCTGGCTGCTCCCTCCTTTTTTTGGTTGTCCCCAAACCAGTGTAGGGCTCTACCATGTTCATGTCCAAAGGTTTACAATTCCCAGGTAAACCTTGGTCATGGCTGGGGGACACAAACCACATGTACATACCTGACTTGCCTTGGCTATGTCTCATCAAGCCTTTACTTTTGAGAACTCCCTTTTTCTGGCTGGCCCAGGACCTCTCTGTGGTGCCAAAGGCATTTTAAAGCAGTGGCAGGCAGTTAGAAATATTTCTTCTGGATGCTTCCTCTTTTGTGTCTTGAACAAAGAGCTTCCCCTATAAAGAAGCTGCACTTATTGATTTGATAGCCCAGGCTGCAAAAAACTGTGTCTAGGGAGTGTCTGCATTGTTTGCAGCATTGTTATCAAAGCCACACCAAATCCAACTGTCATTTAATGAATCACATAATTTTGAAACACAACTTTTGTATTTTGTTGGTGCTAGTTTGAAAGAAAAGCAAGTGTCATCTACGAGAAATTTTTGATTGAAAAAACTTAGCAATTTAACTAAGTGGGAATAAAAATGGCAAAGCAAAGGCTTTTTCTCCAAAGTTCACGTATAAATCTGAGATACAGAGGAAAAGAAAGACTAAGGTATAACAAGGAAAGTAAGGTAGCAGAATATGAAACCTATGCCAATTATTCTCAAAAGAAGCAAAAGTGCTCAGAGAAAACAGAAAAAAATCATGAAGAAACAGCAGTGCAAAAATAAAATATGATGAGAGGGAACAAAATGATGGATGAAATCTAAAACTTAAAAAAAAATCTTTGTGTTATCAGCAGTATGTAATGGATTTTTACTGGTTTCTCAGAGGAAAAAAAAAAAAAAAGCTTAATTTTCATGAAAAGGGTGTATCTTTAGCAAATAAATATCTCCTCCAAGAAAATGCAACCAGCTCACCAACTCTATTTCTCTCCTGACTTCTTTAGTACAGTTGTTGTGAAGATGAGCAAAATATATTGATCTTTGTGTTTTCTCTGCTTGTTCAAAATGTTGTGTTCATAAACAGGACAGCGATTGACCATTGCTGAGCAGGCACGAACATTCAGTGGCACAAAGCAAAGTTGCTTCCAACACAACAATCTTCCTCCTGACAGGGAGCAAAGACTAATTTCTGGCTGGATCAGCCATATGATTTAAAGTGGGACCCATTTCTTGATTTTGGAGAACTGCAGGTTACACAGCAAAGACTTTTCCAGAGCGAGTTTGTCAGTTTTGTGTCCTGCCCATACCTACATGGCGGCGTGTACCGTGGGTGGTTGATGTAGTATGCAATCCAGGATGTGAATCCCCAGTAAAAGGCACAGCCCTGGAACAGACAGATAATTTTTTTGAAAGGGCAATAAGGAAGTGCAAACTGTAACTTTCAAAGTATAAATTCTGCCAAGTGCAAAACCTGAGACCATTGAAAGGCTTTGCAGTTGCTTGTGAGCCTTAGAATATATATTTTTCTAAGTTGCTGTGAAGGCAGTAAAAAATAAACTTGGGATATAGTGTAGATATTTTTATTATTTTGTTGTTTTATTCCTGTGGTAGGAATTGGCACTTGTCTTCTCCTTTTTTGAATTTACTGCTGAAGATCACATTTCTATGAGCAGTGCTATTAAAAATCTAGGGCTGCTTAACACAGCTGAGCTGTTACTGTATCTGAAATTTGGCATTTCCAAGCAAGATAGAGCAAGACAAACAGAACACTAAACCAGACAAAACAAGAAAAAGTGAAGCCCTGTATAATAGCCATGTGTTAATCTCCTTCACCAGAATCCTAAATGTTTAAAGGGAGGGTCTTTACATCACACTAAATGGAATGGGGGGGTGATACAAAATGGCCAAGACAGAGTGTGTAAAAAAAAAGAAAAGAAGGCCTGTGAATAATGACACACTGTTGAAATTCAGGAGGCTTTGGATGAGAGAAGACCTGGCCAGCTCAGTATCTTCCTGCCTGACGCCTCCATCTATAGAAGGAAAATGGTTTTTTCCTACTTGTAATTTGATTTTCACTCCCTAGCACCAGGCTGTTTCTTGCTCTGTATTTATACCGCACCAAGGAAGCAGTGTATGATTTCTGTCAACACTGCTAGATGTTGCAGCAGCAGCTATCACCATAAAATAGTACAGAGTCTGAAAAATAACCTGGACTTGACAATCAGCCCCTTGGGTGAATGAGTCAAAGTGGTCATTTACATGCAGGAGCAAAAATGGACATTGATTTCAATTTATGTCCTTGGGGACATGATCCTGAAATCCATCCTGTTATCTGTATTTTAACTAAACATAATTCCTGGACCTACAAAATAAATTAATTTTTATTTCCCTATCTTCTTCCAAGGACTGCTTTGGTATGAGGATATTCTCTCTTACACAAGATTATAAAAATATTGTCACCTTTATCATATTTTTCAGAGGAGTGTGCCCTTCCGAAAACTTGTGAACAAATAATGTCTCCAGAAGATGCCTGATGTAGTGTAAACAGTGACAGAAGCAGGCCAAGCTGCAAGAGACAGAAAAAAAAGGAAATTAAGGTAAGTGAAAGATTGTTTTTATTACTTCAGGGTTAATGTCATGAAAGGAATAAGAACTAATACTCCAAAACTGCAGAGTCACATTAAAATTGTGGGATTTAAGATATTGTCTTAATTGAAGCATCTGGAACCAAAGATTAATGGAATAATTTTCAGTGTTAGACAAAGTTGCTTGCATTTTGCAGGGATGCAACTTATTTTTACTAGCCTTGAAATAAAAAGAGCTCCTGGAGCTCTGAATGTGATACATAGTCCTGACAAGACATTTAGACAGGACAGCTGCGTGTACAGCCAGGCGTCTGACGCGCCTTTCCAAAAGATGTCTCCCACGTTTTAAGGCCACCTTAATGCTCCTGTAGGATGTGTCTGACATTTAAAAACATTCTGAATGTCTTCTGAATGGTTTCCTTGTCCTTTGCCAACTCAAGTAGCTGCATGGAGGTAGCTTGTGTTTCATTTCCTTGTGGACGCAAAATGAGATTTTGTTGCGAGTTAATCCGTTCTGATGGCTTTTTTGTTGCCTGTTATAAAGAAATGAGGCAATTGTGGTAGAAATTATTATATTGATTCTCTTTTGAGGAAGATTATGAAACAATAACAGGCATTGCTGATTTGCTTCTGAGAATGAGCTGCAGCTCCTAGTGATTGAGTTTCAGAAACAAATGTCAGGAGTGATTCCTGATGGCATTTTATCTTGGTTACATTTACTGTACTACCATAGCCCTTCTTGCTGCAAACCAATTACAAGACATAAATGAAAAGTGTTTTTCAGCATGTGAATTCTCAAATAATTTTATTATGCTTTGTGTATGGTAGCTAAAGTCAAAGATTAAACAATTTCAAAGTAATTAAACCAGAGAGAGTTGAGCTAAGAGAATTTCGAACAATTAACGACTTATCCAAAGCCTGGAGCAAATTTCCAGCTTTGCTGGAAATTTTAAAATTAATTTGGCTTAGGATGGGGACCTCAGATGAACCCATTAAGGAGTGGTCACTGGCAGGATTCTGCCCAACCCTTGCCCACCTAAAAGAAGGCAAAGGCATTGCAGGTTCTTCTGTGCTGCCAGAAACTCTCTCCTTTTAAGCATATGCACAAGAGAAGGAAGACAAGTATCTTGCAGCTCTGGATTTGAATTCAATTATTCTGTGTTCTCATTCCCAGCTCCACTAACTCCCTTAATGTCTCTCCAAGTGCCTGTTCCTCCATCTGTAAATGGCATTATTACTCACTGTATTTCTCTGCTGTGTACCAGTTCCCCTGATTCTGCAGTCACAGTTTGGAAAAAGTGTGTGGGAAAGCCATACATTCCTTGAGCCTCCTAGGTGCCTGTCTACCCTCCTGTAAGTGGGCCAGGCTTTCCTTGATCACTTGTCACCCTTCTGCCAGGCACTAATCACCCAAAATGGGGACAATTCCACTGAAGGAAAGTCCCTTTAAGTGTGAAAGTTCCAGTCTGCCTGGTGCATTCTACCTCCATCCTGTGGAGATGCTTCTTTTGAGTATCTTGACCTGACTCATGATGTGCACACTTGTGGAATTTCCTCCTTCCTGTGCCTAGGTGGGAGCTGGTTTGGGGTAGTTATCTTCTGTGCTGGATGCTGATGCTGCTCATCTCAAGAGCAGGAATGGGAGAGGGGCACCTGAAGTCTTGTCTTCTCTGTCAAGCATGACTTTGGGTTACTACCCACTGTGATTATTATTTCACTTTCTGACTTGATGTCAAAATATTTGAGGAAAACACTGCATCTCCATGGTAATCCATTGCTGGGATCCCATATTTGGTCAAGTTTGTGAGTGCTGCTAAAATGACCTACAGGTATTGGTAATAACTGAATCTGACATGATGCAGGCAGTCTCATACTCCCTGTAACATCCTCAGCTCTGGAATTGCCATCTCCATCCCTTTGGTTTCTCATGATCCAGGAAGATAAAATAATTCCCACAAATGTCACTTACTGAACCACTGGGTGGCGGAAGTTCTTCCTGCTTTCCACATGATCATAAATAGTCGAGAGGCGAATGTAGAAGAGCAGATATATGAGAAGAGGCCCGGTGTATTCTGTTAGAAAAAACTGGAAATGAAAAATAAAATAGCTGTGGCAGAGTAGAAAATTATATCAGGAAAGTTGTGAGAGAAAGAATACCCCTATCCACAACCCCTATTCATCCTTCAAATTACTTTTGGCTTCATTTTCAGGATTTAAATGACACATAAGAGATTCTTCTGCAGTCTCTTTAGCAAAGGAGTAAAATCCATCTAGGAAATGAGAGATAGGTTTCTGTGCAGAACATTAACCCAGTCAGGAATACTTCATGGAAGGTGGTCAAAATCACCGTTATCTCCTCTTTATATTTTTGGCTGTGCCATCAAGTGCCTATTTGGAATCTAAATAACACTGAGAAACAAGGCCAAGAAACTGAAGGCAGCTTGCTTTCTGCCAGTGCTTTTTGCAATTAAGTGGTACACCAGTTAAAAGCCAACCAGGCATGACAGAAACAAACACAGCTTTGAATCCTGGTAGCTTGCAGAGTTATCTGGAAGGGAGGCTATCATTGCTTGAAATTTGGTGGAGGATGGAAGAGCAGGACCAGCCTGCATGGTGCTTTGAGCTCTTTCTTGGTCACTGTGTGGTTCTCCTCACTGTGCAGGCACCAGCAGAAATAGCCTGTGGTGGGCAGACTGGAGAAAATTACCCTACCATGACAAAAACAAAGAAGAAACCATTTCATCTCAGCATTGTCACCCCTGCTAGGCACACAGAGCTGAGGGGAGGGGCAGGGAGAGAAGGCAGAGTCATGGAGATGACATGAGCCACCCTCAGTTTAAACTCTCACTTTGATTTGGTACAGTCTGCATTGCTTTTTCTTGGGGAACATTCTTAAGCCACACACAAATGGAAGAAGTAAAATTACATTAGAGTGATGAGAGATCTAGATTTGATCACCTGTCACTGACCACTGCACTGAATCCCAGAATAAAATGGAAGTGGTGTAGTCCTACACATTTACAAGGATGGGCAAATCTTATCTCAAGTGCTTATCATTGCTTCAGGGAGAAAGATTTATAACTGTTGGGTTATTTGGCTTTATGGTGTCTATTGGCACTGCTGTAGAATTGTAATGAATAAACACCTGTGGCTTAAGGAAGCAACACTAACTTCAGACCACCTTGTACAGAACTAGTATTTGGCTCCCCATCAGGCTGTTCTTCTAATCACTCTTTGGAAGAACATTGAAAGAGAAAGGTTTTCCTACAGGAATATCTAGCAATTACGTTCCCTTTTCCTCTGTTACAGGGGGAAACATTTTGAAATTTTATCCATTCATAGCGGGACAGTCTCCAAAAGTAACAACAGACTTAAGTGTTCTCTACCAGGGGAACATCAAATTCCCTTTTGTTCCAAGTGACACCGTGACTCCTGTGCTCCATTTAGACTCTGAATGATCCCAAGAGCAGGTGTGTGTTTGTGTGTGTGCAAAAATATTTAATCCAGGAGTGCAAGAGCACTCATAGTGGGATACCTCACAGCCAAGGGCTTATTAGAATTTTGTCCTGATAGCAGTTGTATGGATTTGTTCCAAAATGTGAGCCCACTGTGTTTGGCACGCTGCAGACACTGTAAGGGATGGCCTTTTCTATTTAAACCTAACAGACTAAATCTAGACTATGGTGGTGTAGGGGACAGATGTGCAGGTAATGTGGTCTGAGCTGGTCAGGGGAAGAGCCTGGAATGAGCTGCTTTGTTCAGTGGAGCTTTTTCTCTCTGCCATGAGCTGCACCACAAAGTACATCCGTGACTGCCAGCTTTCAACATCTGTTTGGCACAAGCACATTGCAAGGCTGCCAGGAGGAGTTTGGCAGGACTTAGCACCAAGTTGTGTTTACTTGTCACTGCACCAAGTGCTCCCCCCTTACCCCCGACTGATTTCAGATGCTGAAAGGAGAAGGAGAGTTTCAAGATTTAGTAAAAAAATCTCTTTTTAAAAGTCAAAACTCCAGACACAAGATAACAGAACCTTTGTGATGGGGTTTGATGTAGGAAGGAGAGATGCATGAGTGCAACTCAGAGAGCACTCACAGAGCTCTTGAGGTGGGCTTTGTGGAGGGAGAGGCATCAGGGTGGGGACAGGGCTCAGCCTTGTCTGTGTGTCTGTCACATCACCCATGTGGAGGCAGTGGTGCAGGGTGAGCCCGGAGATTTGCAATCACTCTGGGCAGGCAGCACTGTGTTTGCCTTGGTCATAACTGAGTCACACTGGCACATAGTTAAGATCAGTAGCATTCTGTTTTAGAGGATGAGGCTCAATTTGCTGCAGTAATTTTTGCTGTCCTTTAGTTTAGGTAAGTTTCAGATTCTTTGCTTCTGTTGCATCTGCCATGCTGTGATCACTGCTCTCACTCTCTGGCCTACTGATTTTAAATTTGTCATAAATGAAAAACAAGTTTCAGAAAGGCAGGCAAAGAAAATGCTAAAAATTCCCATTAATTCAAGCAGATCAACAGGAAAGTAGTCTTAAATTAACACAGCATAACAATTATTGGTTCTACCCACTGGCAATCAAGGGCAAGCACCATTCTTTTACTATTGATTCTCAATGATTATAGGCAATTAAGCCTAACTAGAATCTTCATACTCATCCTATAGCTGACTAATTGCTGGGCTTGGGGAGTTACTTGTTGTGTCAAGGATCAGTTCAACCCATCATTTTTATAGGTGCTCAAAATTAGTAATCCCTGCTGACACATTCTGGGGAAAAAAAAAACGCATTTTAAACAAAGGCCTGAAAGTAATAACATTGTAGCTTGCTGTTTCTTAAAAGGAATATAATTTTATTTTTTTGAAAAGTGGTCATTTAAAACACAGAGCACATTTAGAATTGTAGAATTGTAAAAAGAAAAAAGGAAAAACAAACAAAAACAAACAAACAAAAACACCAAACCCCAATATTTAGAAGAAATTTTTTTTTTTTACCATCTTATGGTCCTGCCTAGATTATTTTGATGTATTGGGTGCAACCAAATGTGGTGATCCATAATAAACACAAATATATATTCCTGGAGTAGCAGTATGTCTCTATAGCAATGAGCATATCTCAATAGGATTTAACTGTTGAGCTCATTATTAACTCCTTGAAGAGAGAAAATAAGAGATTGTCTTTTTTTTCCACTTCTGTACACTCTTCTTCAAATCTTGCACAGTGTCCCATTCTCTTACCTTCCTTCTCTCCTCTCCAGTGTCTGTCATTATATATATACTATGTAGACCTCTTATTCTCAGTAACATAGAGAAAGTGCTCTTAAATGAAAGTATTCTGGAATCAAAACTCTCCCCAGCATGGTCAGCATACAGGGTGCTAAAATTAGGCTTCTTTAATAATCTCAGTTATCAGTCCTCAGAGATATGATTCAGTAACACCTAAACTGGAAATATCTACTATGTAAACATCAAAACTGAGATCCAAAACCAGCCAAAAGAGAGCTAAGTAGGAGTTTCCGTCATCCAAGAGATGATGGAACAAAAGGTGAAACAATACAGGAGAGCTAATCTGCAAATCAGCAAACCATCTTGCATAAACCAGATTGTACCTGCTTCTTTTATCTCTTATCCAGCCCATTGTGCCAGGAACACCTTGCTGAACAGAGAAACAGCCAGGAATTCAAATCCCAGGCCTTGTGAGGTATATTTAGGGAGGTATGGATGCTGCAGAGGTGAAAGGAGTTCTTTAAGGATATTGGAAGGATTTTCTGGCTGTTTGGGCTGACATAGTGCCTGACGCTGTCCCAACAGGTCTGCCAAAGAGAGTGGAAAGGGTTTTGGTGTGAGTTAAAGTCCCATGTGTACTGGCTGGGAAAAGGCGGGACAGGACAAAAGCAAGTTGTAAACACAGGCAGTGGAGTGGAGGCAATCTGAAAAAAGTCCAACCAATTCTTTATAAATGAACTGCCCACATATTAGTATCTTCACATGAGGGTATAGCTAATTCCTCTCTGTAATGTTTATGGCCTGCCCTTTCTGTAACATCACACAACATGCCCTATCTTGTTGCCTTTTGGCATAGGCTCACATTATCTCATTTATGACAAGCAGCAGAGCTGAGGAAAGGCCATAGAGCCTCTTCCCCACTGATCCCTTTCCTGCAGCTCTTTCCATGCCATGTAGGGCCAGTTTCCCAGGCACCAGTGCTGCTTGTGATGCTTTCTCCTCCACTGCCCACGGGATGTCAGGGTGGAAGCATGGGGCATGGGATGAGGGTAATGCCTGCAGCCAGGACAATGACTTTGGTTCACTGTTTGTAGCCCTCAGCCCAGCAAGAGAGACAAAACAGCTCAGCCATGTCCTGGGTGACTCTGATGGAAAAGCAGCTGCAGTATATAAATTATCTAATGCACAGGGTTAGCTTCTCTGATACATATGAGACAAAGGCAAAGCTGCAGGTCTGGGCCAAGGTCAGGCTGGCACAGTACATACTGCACAAAGAGGAGGATCTCCTGCTATCAGACAGACAGACAGACAGACCATTGCTGCGTGTGAGTGTACAGAGCACAGCTGGGATTTCAGAGAAACCCAAGAGAAACAGGCAGTTAAATCCTCCCAAGTCCCCAGATCACTTTAAACTCAGCATATAACTGCCTTAGACTCCTTTTACAATCCCAGCCCTAAGTACTCTTAAGCTAATGATCATTAAGAAACATTATTAATTTCTAGTTTAATTTCTACTTCATACACTTTGTTACCTCATTAAAGGCCATATAGTTACCTGGGGATGATAATGGCATAATTTTAGCACCTCCCCTAAATCTTCACTTTTGTTAACGTTTTGTATTTTCATGTTTGCAAAACTCCACAGCAGCAGCAATTTTGCATCAGGTAATGCAGTTCTTAAGGCCTGCTTGAATATTCAATTACTTTTTGTTCCATCTCTCATGGAACTGACTAATCCATTCTACAAAACCTAAATTGTGCATGGAGGGGCACCTGAAACTTCCCTTGTCTGTGCAGATTTTGTAGAGACTCAGTGTCTATGAGTATTTCAGGCTGCTGGTCAGTATTTACTGCAAATACCAGAGACA